CTGTGATTACAAGTTCGTTCAATACAAAGATTGTGCAAAGATGTTAATAAAAAAGCAATGAATACCGCGAATACTGAATCATGATATATTGACGATATACACTGTTTATGAAATGACGAGCCTATTATGGCGCCTTCTAACTCTTTGCGTAAAATCCCAGCTCAAATACATCTTCACCCAGTTAAAGTTTCAAGTCTTTGAARGTTTTCATCTGTGAATCTGTCTTTGAATGTTTATATCTGTGGCGGYTCATTTCATTTTTCATTTTGAGTGCTTTTGGTAGTTTGATCGCAGTTAGAGTGAAATCCGTGCAACTGCACAAAATCTAAGTAGTACTAATTTATACTAAAAGTGGACCTGAAGCAAGACGGTATTGAATGCTTATTTGTATCAACAATTCAAATTAATTTGCGTACCGCACGCACGATTTACTATATACAACTAAATATCACTATTTAGCTTGTACAGTTGCACGTTCCGGTGTCAAAACGCGATCGAAGCGTAATCTCCCCCACAAACGGCTGATAATTCTCAGCATCACACCCAACAACTAAAAAATTGTGCGCATTTTTCGATTTCACTGGGATTTCACTAATCGTTTGCTACGCAGCATAACTTAGAGAGCTCATAATCTGACCAACTTTTAGAAAATTTACGAGAATTTTTAATGCAGTACCACAAAAACTGTAGCTAATAAAAATTACATAGATTCTTGGTGATGTCAGTGAACCGTCGGTGGTTGTGACCCGTCTAATACTAGTATCAACACCTTTAGACATAATTAGTTTTCACACTTTTAATGGTGAAGAMTGAGATGCGTGGCCAAAGTAAAGCTAGTACGCTTGGTTTCTTTAAATCAATGGATGAAAGGGAGTCCCATTTGTGGAAAGTTAACAGAAAACTGACTGAAAAATGAAAACTGTTTTATTGAGTTTTCTTGCACGATTTGAACATATCTAAGATATATTACTGCACTGTAATAGCTTCTGTAAAAGTACTGTTCTGGATGTGTATATCATAAACAAATGATATCTATAATAAGTAATACTTAGAGTAGAATGATGGATAGGAAATGGATAGAAAATATAAGAAACGAGAAACCTTCGCATCCAAAATGTATAAATACTTTCAATCACAGCATTTGTCGTAAGCAACCTTTTCGTGATTGAAAGTAATCAAATATTGTCCGATATTTATTCCTCTTTTACACTTCTACCATCAGGCTCCGTTGCAAGCCTCGTCCAGTTTTTTACATATAGCAATATAGTAATAGGAATAGTTCAACAAATGTCAATGCAATGCGTTGTTATATGGGTTGGTGTGAGAAAGTTTATTTCGCTGATGGAAATGTTTTTTTAGTGTAGTTTTTGTGAACTCCAAAGGAATAGATAATATTACTGCATTATTCTTGTAATCAGTTTTCTTTGATCCTGATGAAAAGAGTAAGCTTCAATGAGTTTGGAATCATTTTACTTGGATACTGGAGTATCCACTACGAAAGTGGTAGGGGTGCTCGAGGCGCACGTTTGAAAATGACCGGAATGTTTTATAAAATAAAATAAGTCTTCTTGTATGCTCTGTGGAAGGTTCTTCATAGACTGACCTTATTCTGTCATTTCGAGACCCTAAAAGGTATGTTAGACCTTATTTTCGATCCTAAAAGGTTTATCCAGCACGCCCTCCTACCACAACTTTATAAGGAGATTCCACTATTTGTTCTGATAGGACCTGATAGTATTCGACGTGTTCCAATCAATCAACCACATCAATCTTTCTTTGGGACGCATTACCAGTGATATTTCACACATTTCTACGGGTAAGAACGGGTAAGGCGGAGCTCCGCCTCCCCACCCCCTCCCCTTCCGTTTTCCCCCTCCCCCTTCCCCTAGAGCCGCCACGCAGGCTATTAAATCAATGGATGAAAGGGAGTCCCATTTGTGGAAAGTTTAAAGAAAACTGACTGAGAAATGAAAACTGTTTTCTTGAGTTTTCTTGCACGATTTGAACATATCTAAGATATAATACTGCACCTTCATAGCTTCTGTAACTAAAATCATAACCAAACGATATCTATAATAAATAATACTTAGAGTAGAATGATGGATAGAAAATGGATAGAAAATGTTAAGAAAATGTTAATGATAAATCTTCGCATCCAAGATGTATACATACTTCAGTGACAGCATTCGTCGTAAACAACTTTTTCGTGTCAATGCAATGCGTTGTTATATGGGGTGGTGTGATAAAGTTTATTTCGCTCATTAGGAGACGGAGAGGCCTTTTTTTTTGTACGGGATCTCCTGCTGAAATAATCACTAGGTTGTGGTTTTGGGGTGTTATAAGCCGTAGCAATTTTTGGCAGTCCTCGGAATTTTCCTCGTCCAATTATTTTTTTAATTGGACAGCATGGAGTCCTATT